GTGACAGAGATGGAGATGGAGGAAGAAGGAGGGAGCAAGGTGCACAGCGCAGCTCCTCACGCAAGACTCCAACGCACGTACTCCAAAATGTGCAAGTGAAGAATGAGACTGAAAACAGACAATGGCTGGGGTATACCCTAGCGGACTGACGGGACTGGACTGGACTGGCTGGTACCGACAGAGGTACCGACCGGGACTGGCCTACCCCGAATATATCACAGGCCTGTGAGAACAGGCCAAGGGGCTGGTTTGACATGCCAACCCGAGGTCCGCTACAGTGAATTCCCTCCACACAAGTCCCAACAATCATTCATAGAAGACAACCGAGTGATCACAACCAGAAATCAATGAAGAGATGACAACTCGAACACAGTATTACAACTGTTTATTAAGCTCAGAGCATCATTTTTTACTGAATATATTCAGAACCCTGTTGCGCTACCCTCAGAGAGGTAGCGCCTCAACCCCACACACACCGAGCAGCTAAAATAGCAACAGAACCCCAGGTAACACCCAGCGCCACCCTGATATCCAACTCAGTGGCCTGCGTCGAGATGAAATAGGCTCCCAGAGCCAATCGCCACCCAGATGATGAAGAAGAAGCTCAGCGCCAACAGTCCCTGATGAAGATGAAGTCCAGATGATGGTATCCTCTGAGAAGATGCAGCTATGGCTGCATCGCCACTCGGACCCTACACCTGAGGAGGGTTAGTAGTGCACCACGTGCTCCAACGCATCAGACCTCTGATAGCCCAGACGGCTTTGACTCCCAGAGAGTCAGAGCGGACAGTGTTGACCCCCGTCTGGTCAGCGCTCCAAAGGTCTAGATATGTCCGTCTCCACCACCGGAATCAGCAACCACGACCTGATACCGTGTGCGCAGCAACTTCCACCATGAAGTGTCAACTGCCAAAAGCCCAGGACCGATGTCCCCATCTATCTATACCCTAAACTAACATGGACACGACCTAGACCGGACTGACTAACCGAACGGTACTGTTTCTGTTTCGGCCTCTCTGGCCTCTCCCTACCCGGCTATAGGCTATAGGACCGTAGAACCATCGGGCCTGTCTGTCCTAGGGGTAGCCCGGGTCTGCTATTCGTAGTTAGGGTAGCTGTAGGAAATTCTAGTTAGTACCGGGCCCATATTTTCTATATTTACAAATATTTCCCTCACAAATTTTCCTTACAGGTAGGTCTCTCGGTTAGCCCTCAGCCAAACAAAATTATGAATCTGTCCCTACCTAGGGTACAGCCTCGTCAGAGAGAGGCTACAGGCAACCTGGAACCAGCAAGTCATTGCAAGGGTCTGGTAGTGAGATTGTCCAGTCCTTCCTCTCGCCTAGGCCGATTATCATGCTCATCATCATCGGTAACCTCGTACATGCGCTTAGTGAGATTCGAGTGTGGAGTGCGCCCTTGTCTAACCAGCTTTGCGACCGCCTTCTCAAACCTCTCCTTTAAGGTGTGGACTTCCATATCCGCAATGGGCTTTCCTGCCTTGACCGTGTTGTATGCCTTAAGTACTTTCTCGAAGTCCTGGGAGCTGGGCGTGCCTACCCCGATGACCTTCGCCTTCCCTTGAGCAGGCGCCTCGGGTGGGCTGCTGATACAGACCCCCATTGCAGGTCTTTTAGTGTCGGTTATACTTTGTTTGAGTGATCTCGCCATCTCCTCCATGTTCTTCTTGATGAGAACATGCTCTTGTCGAAGCAACTCAATTTGCTTCTCCATTCTCTCCTTGTCAGCATCGACTGGCCGGTTAACCAAATTGTCAAGCCTTCCTCGTTTCTTCTCCCTCCTTCAGTTGTTTCTCCTTCTCACGGATAGCCTCTTGTCGTGCTTCAAGCTCGGATGCCATAAATTCGTAAACCCCGTCTAGCTTTTCCTGGTTCATCTTCCACCACAGCTAACGCGGTACCAGCGCCTGACCATCAGTAGGGTTTGCGGACTGAGAAACAGGAGGCAGCGGTAGAGCAAGGAGGGGAGCGTGGGAGTGCATGGTCCCTCCGACCGAGAGATTCGCTGTGCTAGAGCTGCTGGGTGGCAGCAACGGAGGGAAGGCATGCGAGTAGCCTGGCTGGCGGTAAGGACATTTGCGGGCAAAGTGCCCCGGCGCGTTGCAGTTAAAGCAGAGCCTACGAGACGACATAGCGACGATAGATGCAATGAAGATACAGACGTATCAACAATCCGAGTTACCTGCACAAATAGCAATGGACGAAGTATATGATAGTGATCTTGTATGCCAGATAAGTATCACGGTAAATTCAATCAGCGACGGTAAGAAAACCTACATAAGACACATGGATGGACTTCGTAGTTGCGATGAGCAAGTCCTATTAGCAAAAACAATAATGTTACAATTTTTTTCAGTAAGCATAAGAACTGAATCTGGAGATAGATGGGACAGAAAAAGCACCGCTGGACGATAAGGAAACGAATCGTAGAGTGCCCTAAGAACCCGCAACAGATACGTAGGGAAAACTGGAGATCAGTTGGGGAGGAATCTGAGAGGTCATCAATAGACTGTCTAAGGAATAATGGGTGGATTTAAATTTCGGGTAGAAAGATAGGAGAAGTGGAGGAACAGGTAAAGACTGCGCTAAACAAGACGAAGAAAGACAAACAAAAGCAGAAAGACAAACAAAAACTCGAAGATCGAGGAAGAAGTCCGAAGCGAGGGAATAATGAGTAGAAGCGTGAGAAACAAGAAAAACAGGTAAGAAACCATCGACCAAACACAACAATAACAAAGACATCAGGGAAGAACAGGAACACAGAAAAACTAGGAAATGAGGAAACCAGGAAATTGGGAGATAAGGGAAGGGAAGGGTCGGGCACAAAACCTTGCAACCACTCTAGAGTCGTACAATTTCTACTTAGGTTATTGCATGAGCCGTAGGCAGGAGCTAAGGCATAACAACAGACGTCGCGAAGCTCCACGAAGGAAGAAAATACTTAGACAGGACAATTAAGCAATGCTATTGGGAAAAATCACAGCGCTGCTGCCCGCAGAGCCTGGTCAATTCATCACTCTTACACTTATGTATAGCATAGCGAAGTGTATCATAAGAGATCTCAGCAAAGATTCACAGCACACGCAACCAAAAAATGAGGGCATCAAGCAACCACAGGATCGTTCTATGCGATTCCATGATTACAGCAGTCGAATTGTTAATATGATTCTGTATAGGAGGTGAGATCAAAGCAAAGCACAAAAAGGGAAGGAAGAAGAAGAAGAAGAAGAAGAGCAACAAGAAAGAATGATAGTGGAGGACGACGAGGAATCTTCAGACCAAAGCGCAACGAGTTTCCTGAAGCCCAAGCAATTAAACGAATGAAATAACATGAAGATCAATGCGCTTCCTACATCTTGTCGATCAGGCCACCTGGTTGACAAAGAAGAAGCATGTATCGGTTGCGCCCGACATGTTTCGACCGGTGTCGATAACCAGTCATCTTCAGGGGCATTCGCAAAGGTTCAAGATAAAAAACGTCACACTGAAAGAAGTATAAATAGGCCATTCCAGATTTAAAAAAGCTGCAAGGATGGGGGAAGCACCTACTCGAGCACACAGGAAAGCGCAAGGCGCGCGCGCGCGAGAGAGAGAGAGAGAGAGAGAGAGAGAGAGAAAGATAAGTCGGGAGAAGCGAATTTATCTTCCAATACCAGCGGGGAGCGATACGACCCCCGTTATAGGGATGATCTCGGTAGTCGAAGCAGTATCAGGAGAATGGCGAGCGCATAGCGATGATCGTCCCAGAAACATTCACGACAGTGTCATTTAGCCAGATCATAGCTGGAGCATACTCTCGCGGGAATCGATAGGAAGCCCGACAGTCGGAAATGGCAAGCAATAGACACTCAGTGAAAACTAGCGGGACCGTGGCCTTCCTGGTAGCCGCTGAAGCGGACTGAAGAGGGGAATATGCATCGACACGGTTGCAGATATAGGCACAGTCAAGGACGGTCGCCTTGCCCATGAGCTTGTTTTTTTCAGAAAAAAACAAAAGAACAGACCCTAATTTTTACAGCGGATTCGTCCAAATGGCATTCAGCTGCGTACCTGAACAAAAAGGGCCTTCCGCCACCACATTCGGAGTATCCACACCACAAAATGACCCTTAGTGCAGAACGGGCTCCTCGCGCGTACAAACCCCAATTTTTGCAACGGGTCCATTTGGAAGGAATGTCAACCCCCCCACCAAGACCAAATAGGCCTTTCACCCCAAATTCGGTATATCCAGTCTTTGAGCGACACAGTGAGCCACCTTTTTTCCTGCTTGTGCCGGCTCAGATCGTTACCCGTACCGCCAGGACCAGGAAAGTCAGTGTCAATAGACTTCATGAGCACAAAGGTCAAGAGTCAAGAGTCAAAACGAAAGGTAATAGCAAATAGATTTAGTAACTTTGCTGTTTGTGTTCTGCCGTAGCCCGAAGCTAGGACAAATATAGTGATTCGGGAGTTAAAAACTACTGGGTGGAGGAAAATGGCCACCCGCTTACTATAGTTAGTGATATGGATACTAGATTCATAAGAGATTAGTGGCAGCAGTTGTTGAAAGTCAATGGGTCCAAGTTGACAATAGTCACCCTGAGCGAGCGAACGGACTGAGCAAATGAACAAACTCAGTCTGTTGCAACAGACACTCCATACTATGTACATTAGACCGGATCAGATTGATTGGGACGAGCACTAAGTCTTACCAAAGGTAGCCAGCGCGTATAACAATTCTGTGCACTTAGCAACATTACAAACCCTGAATGCACTGCAAACAGGTTGGAGGCCTGGGAGACCAATTGAGTGTTTGAATCCTGGTCAGATTCAATGATTACCGCATGATACTAGGTAATTTGCACTCCAGTGTGAAAGATGTGCAGAAAGTCGCAGAAAATATTAGAAAAGCAAAACATCAGATGATGGAACAGGCCGACAAGCATCACAGGCCCTCCAAATTCACTATCGGAGATGTCCACGGGCCGTCCAGGAGAGCGACATCTGGCCGTCAAGGAAACTTCCAGAGTCTGTGATGCATTTGAGAGTATTTCACTGAAACTGCAACCCGCATACAGAATGCCGTCGGAAATTCTGGATATCATAGGAGATCTAGATGTTCCATCTTATGTTCGTGACATCCCGCATCATTTGCATACGTAACCTGTGTATTTCACGCGTCCAAGTTGCTGCTGCCTCGGGGGACTAGCAATACGTTCCCTTCAGGCAGATCAATAATATCTCCTGATATGGATGCCATTGGATGGGAGATATGATATTGACCGTATCGTACGAGAAGATGTCTGTAGGACAAATAGGAGGGGAAGACCACAGCAGTACAAGGTCTGTTTCCAACGCAGGAACCGGAGGATGACAGATGGTGCACAAGGAATGAATTGTGTTAAGTCAGCCCAGAACATCATGTCGTCTTATGAGAGGGTTAGAAGAGGGGTCAACAAAGCAAACAGGTAGGAAAGTTAGCACCTTTCAAGGTCCTTTCTAGGAGGACCCTGAAATTAGGCCGGCAGGACTGAAAGGATTTCACATCACAGTCAGTGTCTAGAGCCCCAATGTTCCCAGCGGTCAAAGTGCCGGACTTAGGTCTAGTAGGCCGGTGGAGTTCGGTAGACCGACAGAAAGTTTAGGGTCGTTCAGAGTACGACAGGCTTGTCTGGCACAGTACCTGACAAGGAAGTCGCAGTCCAAATATAGCAGCAGCACCCTGGGAAAGTCCGTTGACTTCCGGAACTACAGGCAAAAAGTGCAGCCAGTAGGCCTTGGGGAACCAGTACCGGTCTGGACCCGACAAAGATCTCAATTTGACTTCGATATATACGGCTACAGTACTTTGAGGGACTCACATGCCAATTGAAGTGGTGTGGAAGCTCTGCTGAAAGCTTGTGTGACCAAATGGGCGGACGGGATGGGGAGGTTGAGAAAGAAGCCGGCGCTGAAGCACCATAGCCAGGGTTAGCAAGGACAAAGACGGGCACCATAAACCCATAGGGTAGAACTAGGGAGAGAGGCAAAAGCATTAGAGAGTGAGAGTGGGAGTGAGAGATACAAGTGGTGTGTGTGTGTGTGTGTGTGTGTGTGTGTGTG